GTTGCGCACCGGCTGCCTTGCCTCTTTCAATTTCCACAAATCACAGCTCATGATTGCCATAATAAGTTATTGCGCGGAGAGATGCAAATAGGATGTTTCCTGGTCAAAGCGCAAATTGACCGGGCGCTCTCTGAAAAATGTTTTCGCCGGACGATTCGATTCGTGCTATTGCGCCCGCGGGGCTACTCTCATATTTCGTCACGATGCGTCGTGTTAATTCGAAGCCGGGCATTGCACTCGATTCACAAATAATGTCGCGCGTCATCGGTGATTAAACCGTAATAATATTTTTCAGCCGCCGACAATTACTCATTTCCACAAATTCCGATTGCGCCTTTCAGGAAGGGCGCTGATTAATGAAACACGGCGAAACATGATGGAAGAGAAAGACGCGGGGAACATGAGAAAAGGAGAGCGAGAGAAAGAGAAGAGAAGGAAGAGATAGACAGAAACAGGCAGAGAGAGAGAGACAGACAGAAAGAGAGACAGAGAGAGAGAGAGAGAGAGAGAGAGAGAGAGAGGCAGAAAACTGAACGCAATTTCAGCCGTCAGTTCTCGCGGGAAGATAACCCCGAGAATTTATTCTCGGGAGCCGATCATCCGTGAGACAGACGGCGGCTTTTTGTCGTCAGCTCGTTACGGCTAACGAATGACTTCCCTGCCTCCGAATGCGCTTCGAACACGCGCCCGCCCGCCCGTCTGCATTTCCGCGTTCGCTGTCCGCCCGAAATCCCCCGACGTGAGCGCGCGCGCGCGCCTCTGGAGATTTATGAATCTAATTAAATTGCCATTGGATTTAATTTAATCACCTATACTGCTTCCTACCTTTGCGCTTAAAGCAACGAAGGCGCGTACGCACGCATTGACGGTCATTATATGATTTCAACAAATCGTCCTTGTGCAGCTGATCGCCCGTCTGTTGCAGAATAACGCGGGCTGTTCTACGCCCATATACGCGATTTGCTGAAATATTTTAAATTCTAATCGCGTGTGTCCTGATTACGTCACGATGCGTGAGTTACGAGAAACGCAACTCGTGAAAATGCGGATATTACCAACTGTTACTGTTAGAAATCACCACTGGCCGCTTGTTATCGCCATTTATAGCATGAATTACGAGAGCGAAATTAAGTGCTAATTGCAGTTACGGAAACTTCTTAGGCTCTACTTTTTAGATAGATATTTCTTATAAGGAATATTCGCAAAGTGTGTATCTCCGATTTCGATAAAACTTGGCATATTTATAGAAATAAAGGACTTATGTTTTTTTTATTGGTAATGGCTCAGGTTTAAGGGATGAAACTACCTCTCAAAGTTTTATTCTCTTTTTGCTATCTCTGTAAGAGATAGAAAAAAATTTTTTAAACAAAAATTGTACGGTTTTTTATAAAAAATAAAACAGACTAGATTAAGAAAAAAAAATATCTTTAACAAAATACCTATTGTCAGGTTTAATTTTTAATTTTTCTACTCGTCGAAAAAGTGTTTGAAACGTAAAGTCTTTTTACACCAAGCACATTTGATTATTGCAATATCACCGTAAACACTACATTTTGGTTCATTCTCAATCGAGTAACAATATTTTACTGGATTTTTAATCTTATATTTATATCTTATATTTGTATTTGGCCTATTTTCAATATATTCATTCCGAGCGCGCGCGATATCAGAAATATTTAATAAAATTTTGAAACATTAGAGAAGAAAACTTGTTTTAATTTAAATATATTGTTTCTAGTAGGTAAATTAATATTATTGGGAGTAGAAATAAGTCTCCGCCGTTTTTTTATAAAAAATTGGACATTTATTGTGAAAGAACGGTATTATGTTTTATTCAAAGTATTGTCCATCGCTAGCCACTACTTTTTCCCATCTTTCTGGCAGCATACGGATACCGCGTCGGAAGAACGCTTCATCTTTTGAGGCTATCCACGAATCGATCCAATTTTTGGGTCAAAAATCTTCATATGATGTGAAGTGCTGCTCAGACAGGCCGTGCGTCATCGATCGAAACAAGTGATAGTCAGAGGGAGCAATGTCTGGTGAATACGGCGGGTGGGGTAAAACTTCCCAATTGAGTGTTTCCAAGTAGGTTTTGACCGGCGCCGCAACATGTGAACGAGCATTATCATGCAGGAGAATAATTTTATCGTGTCTGGAGTAGTAATGGGCGCGTTTTTCCTTGAGTGCTCGGCTCAATCTTATCAATTGTGTTCGGTAGAGAGCCCCAGTAATGATTTCGTTCGGTTTGAGCAACTTATAATACACGACACCAAGCTCATCTCACCAAATACACAACATGAGTTTTTTTCCATAAATATTCGGCTTGGCTGTCGATGTTGAAGCATGGCCACGTGGTCCCCATGATTTCCTCTTCTTTGGGTTATCGTAGTGGATCCATTTTTCATCACCAGTGACTATACGATGCAAAAAACTCTTTCGTTTATGCCTGGCAAGCAGCATTTCACATGTGCAAAATCGGTGTTCAACGTTTCTCGGCTTCAGTTCATATGGAGCCCAATTTCCTTGCTTTTGAATCATTCCCAACGATTTTAAACAGTGTGAAATTGCTTGTTGAGTCACTCCTAATAAGTAAATGCAAGTTCTTCTTGCGTTTGGCACGAATCTTCCTCCAATAATGCTTCCAATTCCGCATCTTCGTACACTTTCGGCCTTCCGCTACGTTCTTTATCTTCGACGTCAAACTCACGGTTCTTAAACTTTTGAAACTACTCACGACAACTTTTCTCACTTAAAGTAGCCTTACCATATGCTTCTACAAGCAATCGATGCGCCTCAGCTGCAGATTTCTTCAAATTAAAGAA